ATGGTAATGAATTATGGTGCTGGAGAAGACTCTTGAGAGTCCCTTGGAATGCAAGGAGATTGAATCAGTCAATCCTAAAAGAAATCAACACTGACCATTCCCTGGAAGGCCAGATACTGAAGCTGAAGCTCAAATACTTTGGCCGTCAAATGAGAAGGGAGGACTCACTGGAGAAGACCCTGATGTTGGGAAAGATTGAAGGTAAAAGAAGGGGATGGCAAAGGATGAGATGGTTAGACAGTGTTATCAATGCAATGAACATGAAATTAAGCAAACTCCGGAGCACGACGGAAGACAGGAGGGTCTGACTGTGCGACTGAACAACAACAAATGCTCCAGATTTCCCAGGTTCCCTAATACTGAAGCTTTATGCAAATGCAGAATATATTCATCAGCACCCTTGTTGAGATAATATGGTAACCACATGTCTTGGGAGCAGTGGTTGCTGGTTGTCCCATTCTGCACCTGGCAAAGGTAGCAGGAAGACAGACTGGCCAAAAAAACCTGGGCAGGTCTAGTGGTCCAGAGAGAATGGAAATCTTTCCAGGAGCCGAGCAGATCATGGATACCTGGAGGTTTCTTAGGGATAAGCTGCTACCTAGACTAAGGCCAAGCTGGTTGAATGGAAATGTTGAACTGGAAAAGGATGGGATGGGATGGGATTCAACTGCAGGACTATATATAGGGAACTGAGAGCCCCACTCCTTCCTGTAACTAAGGCTAGATCCTTGATGCTGCAGACAGCTAATGTTAGGTCCTGGATCCTGCACCTTCCTCCTGAGACAGACTGGAGTGGGGAAGCTTCCAGGGTCAGGCTCTGGCCTTCCACCTTCTCTGGGCCTGAGGGAGACACTGGAGGTGCAAGAGATGGACCATTCTATTTCCTGGTCTGCTGGTTCCAAGGGACCTTGAATGGGACCCTGCTGTTGGAGATGGACCACCCCGGGAATTTCTAGAGTGCATGAAACCTCCAGTGTAGTGAGGTGGATAGGAAGCCCCTTATCTCCTGTTGGAGTCTACTTCTCAGGTGCAGGCTTGACACCAGCTACCCAATGCAGGCAGACATAGCATCGGAAAAAGGCTTCAAATAAACACATATCCTTTCCCCTGGTAATCAGGGTCTTGGTCTCCTTCCCTTTGGTGCTTCTCTTAACATCAGAGTCTAGATGGTACACTCCTTGGGGCAGGGTTGAATCCTTTGTCTCACACACTATGAAAGGCCATGCATTGCCTGTAGATGGTTCATCTGTGTGTTTGGTAGTGGTTAGAGAGCCAGTTAGTAGTGGTTAGAGAGCCATTTTGATGTAGTGGTTAAGAGTGGCAGACTCTAGTCTGGAGAACTGGGTTTGATTCCCCACGCCTCCACATGCAGCCAGCTGGGTGACCTTGAGTAAGTTACAAATTCTCTCAGAGCTGTTCTCTCAAGAGCAGTTCTCTCAGAACTCTCTCAGCCCCACCTACCTCACAGGGTATCTGTTGTGGAGAGAGGAAGGGAAGGTGATTGTAAGCTGCTCTGGGACTCTGAGTGAAGGGCGGGGTATAAATCCAACTCTTCTTCATGGTTAATAATAATACCTCTATAGAAGGAGCAGGATTAAATCTCGCTGGAGAAAATAGGTCAATGAGGAGCCATCTGAGGGGCTTGTTAACTGTAAAATTAACTGTTTTAGTATAATAAATACATTTTGTACTATACTATATATAGCCAGTGTGAACTAACACGTTAAAACACTAGCATAGAGACACCAAGAATATTCTTTTTGAAAAGAAAAACCCAAAGAGCAATTCAGCTGCCAGAACCACAGATCCTTAACGATGAAATCACTGAAATTGACAAAAGTAGCCCTCAATATTACTCCAATTGAGTTGAATCATTCAGGGTGATTTAAAAATCATCTCCTTGAGAGTAAACATGGTCTTTTTGAAAAGGGTTTTTGTTTAATTAGATCAGTTTCTCTCACTTTTCTGTGTGCCACAACCTCATCCACTCTTCTCAGATCCAAAGAGTATTTGCAGATTTCCACTTTTAGGCAATTAACATTTTGCTGTGATTAACACATTGTCCAATAACTGGAGCAGAAATGGTCTAGCACAAATTTGCAAACAGATCAACACACGTTATCAAGCCAACACAGGGTTTTTTTCCATTGGCCTGCCCACACACATACAGATTTTGCATCAGTTTTGTTTTTTTTTTTAAATAACAATTTAAAAAATCCTTTCATCACATTCCTTTAATGGGAACAGCATGGGAAAAAATACAACAAAGATTCTTGCAGCAACTTCAACACAATTATCTGTGACCTAAACTTCCATGTACATCATCAGATGCGTGAAGATGCATCTGATGATGGCAGATATCCAGATGTATGGATAAGAGAATTGTAAACAAAAGGTGTGAGGTCCAAATGGTGGAGGTAAGCGCAGTGAACGTTCACAACAGCAGCCTTTGGCAATAACACAGTCCTCCTAGTTAAGTTCACACTTGTGCGAGAGAAAGCATTCATCTCAGTTGTGTCCTAAATGGTCTGAATCAAACTTTCAGGAAATTCCCTGCTGGAGTTTCCCTTAGAAGTTCTTTGGCTTAAGAATTATGAGTTTCAGAGTATCCTGGGGGGACGCAACTTTCTGCGACCCATTTCACAATGTTGCCATGTTTCACGTCTGGTTCGTGTTGATCTGTCTTCTGAGCTATTTATTTTGTTTACATTATTGATAGTTCGCCTTTTTCACTGAGACTCAAGGTGGATTTCATGCCATAAGTCAAATGCAATCAACAGGGTGGGACATCCAATGAACAGTGCCGTAGGGTTCGGATTGCAGAACTCTGAATACGAGCAGAAATCTATGACAGAGCTGAAACAAAGCATGGCATGTTAAATGGTGTAGAAGCTGCACAGTCTGAGCTTATTCAAAGTGATAGGCAGCAATGCAGTAGGATCAGCCACAGTCTTCTATGACCTACATAGACCATTAAAAAAGCATCGCTGGTAGGTAACAGTCCATTTTCCATCTTTAAAACCATAAGACTGGGAGCCATAAGAGAAAGCATAGCTCTTTTCCTTCCAGATTATCTCCCCTGATCTTCCCTGGATAGCTTAACTAGTCTCGCACACATCAGACAGGTGTATATGAGGACAGGTGCACAACCCTAGCGGGCTGGGAGCACGCTGTGGCTCAGTGGTAGAGCATCTGCTTTGCATGCAGAAGGTCCCAGGAGCCAGTTCAATCCCCAGCATTTCCAGTAGAAAGGAGCGGGCAGTAGGGGATGTGAAAAGACCTCTGCATGGGACCCTGGAAAGAGCTGCCACTGCCAGTCTGTGTAGACAAGATTGACCTTGATAAGCCAGTGGTCTGGTTCAGTAGAAGGCAGCTTCATATGTTCATACCTTTGCTACAGTAGCAGTGCTAAATAAAGTCCAGTCTAGGTCACATGGCCCAGGTCACTCCCTCCCCTTTGCAAGAAGGCAGTTTCACCACCATATCCCAAAAGCCGAGTTACAAGGACTGTGATCCGCACAGCCCATAGGAGCCCAGCTGGAAATGAGGTGCTGGTACCCTTCATTGGTTTATGTATTTATATGCCTGCTTCTCTCCCCAGTGGGGACCCAGAGCAACTTACAACAGACCTAAAGTCACCCAGAGAGTTTCCAAAGCAGAGTAGGGATTGGAACCTGGGTGTCCCCGATCGTAGTCTGACTCTCTGAGCAGGACAGTGAGATGTTCAAAACCTTCCCTGGCACAGTGGGGGTTCAAACCTGGCCTCCCAGATCCTTGTCTGTCCGACCACTGCACCAGCCTGGTTCCCTTCACTTGTGGAAATAATTGACAGGCATTTCTTGCTAAGCCTAAATAAAATAGACTTGAATCAGTGTGGCTGCTTTCAGATATACAAAGAGAGCCACTGTGTTGTGGTAGTCAGAGTGTTCTACTAAGATCTGGGAAGCCCAGGTTCAGATCCCCACTCGGCCATGGAAGTTTGCTGGGTGCCCTTGGGCCAGTCACACACTCCTGGCCTGGCCTACCCTACAGGGTTGTTGTAGAATGGAGGAGGAGATAAATATGCAAGGCTATGCCAAACACAGCTGCTACTGGAAATGGCAGCTGCGTGTCCAGAGCCAGGGCTGATGCAGTGGCTGGAGTGTCAGGCTGGGTATTGCAGACTCCACAAAGGGACCAAGAAAAAGAGAGTTTGCCTTAGGGCAGCCAGTGAGTTCTCGGCAGAGCCCTGACTCAGGGACTCATTTTCCAAATGTGAGGTTTTAAATTTTTTTATTTATAAAAAGAAGCCCTCTTAAATCGCTGCTTTCCCGCAGCTCAAACATGCTTTGGTGGTAGGGCTGGTGGCTTGCGGTGGATTATCCCGGATGCCCGGGGAAACGGGCCTCCTCCTTCTTTTCCTTCTAGAGCAATTTGCTCGTCTGGGGGCAAAGACGCAAGGTGCGGCCAAGATCCCAGGCGCCCCCCCAGTTTGGGCACGGACATGGAAGAAGCACCTGTTGCCCAGGGAAAGGGGAGTGGGGGGGGGGGGGGGGGGGGGGCGTGAGAGAGAAAGAGAGACAGGAGCCGACGGCGCTCAGCCTCCGAAAGCACCAGAGAACAGCTCCGAGGCTCGCTGCCATCGCGCGAATAGCCTGGCCAGGAAAGCCAACGCGAAGCCCTGGCTGGCAGCCCTCTCAAACAGCCACCAAGTGGGGCGCCCGTCAGGAGGCAGAGAGGGGCCAGGAGAGCAGGGGCTGGCCCAGCTGCCACCCCCGGGATCCCGCTCCTGTCCGCCGAAAGAGCGCGGCCGAGCCGGGGGACGCTCCAGAGGCGCGCCGGGGCGGGGAGGAGAGAGGCTGGAGCGCAGGCAGGGCTCCCCCCTCGGAAGCGCTTGGTAGATCCGGCCAGTATATCAGCCAGCCAACCGCCTGCCGGTGCCCAAGGCATCCTGAGCGCCACGGAGGGGAGGGGAGGGGAGGGGAGGGGGAGGAGGCGCCTGCCTCGGCCGCGGAGGAGGAGGAGGAGGAGGAGGAGAGCGCCGCCGCCGCCGCTGCGCCCCGGGCATGGTGAAGCCCTCCGGCCTCAGGCGGAGCCCCGGTCCCTCCTTCCCATCCCTTTGAGAGGGGCCCCACAGGCAGCCCCCGGCAGCAGCCCCTCGGTCTGCTCGGCGCGCTCGGGTGGGTAAGTGTGTCGCTGTCGCCTTCCCTTCGGAGGGAGACGCTCGGATCTGAGCGGAGAGAGGCAGGAGGGAGAGGGAGGGAGAGAGGGTGCGGGGAAACCGTGCCTGGTTACAGGTGGCTGTTCTGGGTACCGCCGTTAAACTGGATGGAGATCGGAATCAGCGGCGGTCTGCCTGGATCCACGGGCTCACGGATAGCCTTGGGAGGCTCGAAGGATAGGGCATAAAAGAAATGAGAGAGAGAGAGATTACTGGTTTCCCACGGACAAGGCGGGGGTCACAGAGCATGGTTTTGAAATGCAAGGCATCAAACTTTCCAGGAAACAAGGGTTCCACCGGGGGGGGGGGGAGGAATAATGTGTACATCATGTGAGAACATCACAAATAGTGCCTGGCTGAGGCATGGATGCTTCTGAGCAGAGTGGTAGCTCAAGAGGATGCCAAGGATGCATGTACACAGGAAGGTGCCTTCTACTGAATCAGACCCTCGGTCCATCAAGGTCGGGATTGTTGGCTCAGACTGGCAGCAGCTCTCTGGCAGAGGGCCTGCCCATCACCTGCCCCCTGACCCTTTTCCCTGGAGGTGCCCAGGATTGAACCTCGGACCTTTTGTATGCTGAGCAGATGCTCTCCCACTGAGCCACGGCCCCTGCCAGCAGGTGCCTCTTGATAGCTGCTGCTGCTTGTACAAGCCATGAATTGTGAGAATCATGTGCTTCCGGGGTGTGTCCCCCGGTGCATCTTTGCTGCAAAAAGATGTCCTTCTAGTGGCTTGGATTGCACAGGGTTTGGAAGTCGGTTCCAGGTAGGAGCTGGGAGACACTGGCTTCTTTGGAATGGCAGGTGAGAAAGGTGAGGTCAGGGAGGAGAGGGGCCAGGCTAACAGGGGCAGACATCTTTTGGCTGCCCAAAACTTTGGCCTTCTGCGGTGGTGGGGAGTGTTGTTAAGTCACAATTGACTTATAGCAACACTGTAGGGTTTTCAAGGCAAGAGATGTTCAGAGATCTGGATTTGTATAAGTGGGGCCAGTGTTGTGACTCTTAACCTTTTCATTTTCATCCCATCATATATTTTTCCTAGGGAAGTTGCTGCGGTTCCACGGCAGAGCATCCGCTTGGCATGCAGAAGGTCCTAAGTTCGATCCCTGGCATCTCCAGCAAAAAGGATTAGGTAGGAGGTAGATGTGAAAGACCCCCACCTGAGACCCTGGAGAGCTGCTGCTAAGCAAGGCAGACCAAGGATCACTCTCAATATAAGGCAGCTAACTGTGTTTTTCACCAGCACACCAAGATCCAGTTGCTCATATGCTCACGTGATCTGCCATCCAGATCCAGTCTCTGGTTCACACTAGACTCATGTATCTCATTGACCCTTTCACACAAACAAAGCCAGTATCAGTTGTGGACTCCTGAAGCGATTGAGTGATGCCCCTGGTCTATTGAGGCCCATGCCCTCCACTCTAACTTGCAACAGCTGTCCGGGGTCTCAAGAAGAGGTCTTTCATATCATTTACTACCTGATCATTTTCACTGGAGATCTCAAGGATTGAAACATGGACCTTTTGCATGCCAAGCAGAGGCTCTACCACTAATCCATGACCCCTGGATCTAGGTGCTGGATTATGTGAGTGTATGAACGAGAGACAGTGTAGTGTTCAGGTGCTATGGTAGGACCAGAGAGATCCAGGTTCAAATCAGAAATATAATGCACACATTTTCCTCTCACTCCATCACTGGATTGTTGCAAGGATAAAATGGGGGAGGGGGATCCCATGATTTGAACACAGAAGCTGTCAAGGACAGTGCTGTCTACTCCAGGGGTATCAAACATAAGGCCCAGGGGTCCAGAACCGGCCTGTCGAGGGCTTTTATGCAGCCCACAAGCAACTGATGCAAGGGGGGAGTGCTGGGGGGTGGGTGGGCAGAGCCACTCCATTGTGGCTTCAGCATGGCAGAAACAACCTTGTCTGCGGCAGTCAAGCATTGTGGGAGCATCTGCCCAGTGCTGCACCCCTGGCTCTCCAGTCTGCCCATGTGGGTTTTCCTCTGCACACCACCACCACCCCCAGCCCGTGGGGCCTTGCAGTGAGGATACACCAACCTGGAGCTTACCAGCTGCTGTCCTTTATACAGTTTCTATCTCCTGGCATTACGTTTTATGGCCCAGCCCGACAAAGTGACATTTATGTCAGATCTGGCCCTCATAACTAATGAGTTTGACATCTCCTGTCTACTCAGACTGTTGGCTACTCTCTCGGGCGCATCACCTGCTACCTGATCCTTTTAACTGGAGATGGTGGGAACTGAACCTGGAACCTTCTACTTGCCAAGCAGGTGCTCTGCCACTGAGCCATGACCCTGCCATTGGCCCGCCTAGCTCAGTATTGCCAACTCAGGCTGGCAGCAGCTTTCCAGGGTCTTTGGTGGAGGTCATTTACATCATTTGCTGCCTGATCCTTTTCACTGGAGATGCAGGAAATTGAACCTGGGACCTTCTACATACCAAGTAAGTGCTCTACCACTGAGTCACGATCCCACCACTGACCCACCTAGCTCAGTAGTGTCTACTCAGACTGGCAGCAGCTCTCTGCAGTCTCAGGTGGACGTCTTCCACATCATCACCTGCCTGATCCTTCTAACTGGAAATGGCAGGGATTGAACCTGGCACCTTCTACAGGCCAAGCAGCTGCTCCAGCACTGATCCATGGATCCTTTCCCTCCCTTGAAGAAAGAGCAGAATAGAAATGTTATAAATATTTGCTCTCCAGCTATTTTGGCCTAGATTTCTCTGGCTGCAACATATGGAACTGTTTGGCAGCATCCCTTGACTGCTCGTTGTCAAGTTTTTCCCCTCCCCAGCTAATTTCAAACACCCCCCCTCTAAAGTGATGACTGTACCGCCGCAGGTAGTGTTGTCTCCCTGGCAAGTTCTCACCCCTCATGCAGGGAGCTTTTTACACCAATTCTAACTGAGTACTGTCAAGTCACAGCTGACTTATGGCAACTCCCCATGGGCTTTGCAAGGCAAGAGCTGAGCAGAGGCGGTTCGCCATTGCCTACCTCTGTGCCGCAACCTCGGTCTTCTTTGGCAGTCTCCCATCCATGTACTGAGCATGGCCGGCCTGGCTTAGCTTCTAGACTCTAGTCTGGGCTATTCAGGCTGCTACACACAATGCTTCTCCAAAGATGTAATCTTCTCCATCCCAACAGGCGTTCTGAGGTGGTACGATCACCTGGCTGTACCATGTGGCCTTTTGAAGGGTTAAAACGGGCTCTGCCGGGGTTGATTCATGGATGCCTGGGCATCATCTGATCTCCTCTCTTAATTACTCAACAGTGGATCACTCTCAATTGATGGTATGAACTACTGAAAAGAATTGTGTTTGAATTAACACTGGATGAGACGTGAGTTCTGTAAGTGGTAATTAATTGCTGATGACTCACCCATTCCATCTTCCAGGGTCCCAGGCTATGATATGAAAGGAGAGGATGCAGCCACCTGGCTGAGGCTTAAACAAAGCTGGGGACTGGTCTGTGCGTGGATATTATTATTATTATTATTATTATTATTATTATTATTATTATTATTATTATTATTATTATTATTATTATTTCTAGACTGCCCTCCCCTCAGGGCAGTTTACAACAACAACAAAAACACAATAATAAATTAAACTAATTGTTAAAACAGTAAAAATGCAACAATTGATTTAATTAGATGGTGCTAGTCAACTTCAGATTGTGCTGCTGCCCTGCGTGGTGGGGGGAGGCATTACACAGGACTGCCAGAACAGGTGGAAACAGTCCTGTCCTCGACCAAACGCCTGGCATCTCTGCCTTACAGGCTTTCAAGCAAGGGAACCTTTACCTTTATCAGCCAATTGCGAGTGGGCATGGGTGTGCCCAATTGTTGGTTCTCATAGCTGCAACATAGGAATGGCTAGAAGTTTAGAGCCCCTCCTGAAGTCAATTGACCTAGTTTCCAGGTACTTCATGGCCTATGTGACTAGTCTCATGTGGGCCAGAAAATGTAGCTATGAGGTCTGGCGTTTGGCATGAAAGTGTGAAAGAATGTGGGTTTATGGCATGGCTATTGAAGCCATGTGGCAACAGGAAACAAGACACAGCATGTTATCAGAAAGACATCACAAGAGAAGGCATGTGGATATAGAAAGCAGAAAGCAATTTTTCTATACAGGAAATAATAATACAAAATGCATTTTTGGCATGCAGTGCCCCAGCCCCAGGACTGCTTACAACAGAGGTATCAAACTCATTTGTTACAAGGGCTGGATCTGACAGTAATGTCACCTTGTCGGGCCGGGCCATGTGTGCCATAAAACGTAATGCCAGGGACCAGAGATATACACTGTATAAAGGACAGCAACTGGTAAGCTCCAAATTGGTGTGTCCTCACTGCAAGGCCCCATGGGCTGGGAGGTGGGTGGCTTACAACAATAGGAGGGCTGGATCCGGTAGAAGATTTCTGCAAATGGGGAACTATTTTCACCAGTTCTGCAGACTTCTGACTCCCTCTCCCCATACTGATCCTAGTGCTACCCTTGACCCTCCCCCCCAAAGCAGCAATTGGGGGGCATTTGGAGTTGCAGCAGGAAGGGTGTGCTCTATGGATGAAAACCCCTTCCTTCCAGGGAAATCCACTGCAGGAGCCCAGCCACTGTACATTTGTTTTCTAAAGTTCCAACCTACCAAAGAAAAAAAACCCCAAACTCTAGCAGCTGAACCAAGCCAGAGAGTCAATCTTGCATTAAGCCAAAAGCTTGGCTGAATGAATAAGTTTTTGCAGTCTTCCAATAGGCTGCTTGGGAGGGCCAGTTAAACTTTGTGGTGGAGAGAATTCCAGATTCCTGAGGCTGACACCAAAAAGGCCCTGCCATATGTTGCTGCTGGTCCAGACTCTGACAGTAATAGCACACAAAAGCAGGGCCCTCTGCAGGTGATCTCGGTGTAAAGGGGTGTGCAAACCAGCCTGAAGGGTGAC